AGAATTAAAAAGGAACCAAAGAATAATTAAGAAACGAATCGAACAATTCAAGAATTCAGTACCCAGAAAAATAACCCTAGAAGAACGTGAACTCAGAGAAATTGAATCTTGGATACAATCTAGGATCAGTAACCCGAATAATATAACCTGTTTAACCCTGACAGTATTAAGGAGTAAACTAAACAATCAAGACCTATATGACCAATTGCCAGGAACAGATAAACCATTTGGAACCTGAACAAGAACTGAAATCAGAAAACTACAATATAACTTATATCAAGAAATCAGAAGTAACAACTATATCTTATACTGAAGAACGACAAGAAGTTAAAAACAGTTTATTGTATAAAGAAATTAACAGACCGAAAAAGAATAAAGATCTTGAAGACTTTGAACATAGATACTGGTTGAACAATTTGATACAAAAACAGTTGCGAAATGGATTAGAATTAACACAATATTACAGCTTAAGGAATTTTAAAACAATTCGACTAACCCCAGAAAAAACTGAAGACGTCAAATCAAAAATTACAAAGAATAAAACAAAAATACTACCCAGAACAATTGGAAAAGTTATATCAAGCAAACCAGCGAAGAAATTACTATTAAATGATCAAGGCAGAAATAACTAAAAGTAAACTTGGAATACTAATTGACGAAACAATTAAAAAACTTGAAGAAGACCAAAACTTAATTAACAAAGAAAAGAAAGAAGAAATATTAACAGAAATAAAGAACGAAGAATCAGAAGAACCAACATTCAAAGAAGAACAGAAAAGAATAATAAAATACTTGGAAGAAATAATATTCAAAGAACAAAATAGGATTACAAATTACCATCAGAAAGTTGATACTATAAATTGGTTAAGAAAACAACTTTATGAAGACGCATTACACCACTGCATTAATTGTAATTTAGGTTGGAGATATTATAATTCACACGACTGCAACTACGACAGTGAACCCGGCAAGGAACTAAGAAGATTATACAACATAACAATAAAAGAACTCAACGAATTAATTGAAAAAGACTCTGAGAACAAGAATTGTATAAATTTTGAAAAAATAAAAAAGACAATCAAAATAATAAAGAAACAGATATTTAAGTCAAAAACTCCAACGTATATTGAGGAAAAAGAAAAATTAATTAAAGAAATTAGAAATTTAAACGAAACCACCTTAATAGCATACAAATTATTAAAATCAAAAATTGAAGAAAAACTAAAATGAACCTAAACGAATCTAATGGATGGACCCAACAAGGACCAAACTACTGTAAGTGGTGCGATGAACATGTCGAAAACCCCGAAGAACATAACTGTCGAATCAAAGACCAAGAACTCCAAGAAATTACAAAGAAAGAATTTAATGAACCAAAACCAATCGTTAAAAGAATAACAGAAGCATTCAATGAATACACCGAAGAAAGATTCGAAAAGGAACGGAAAGCGATCCTAAAGAGACAAAGCACTAGAGAATTCACGTGTGGAATTTGCCATCAAAAAGGACACACAAATAGATATTGTCCAGACCAAGAATGCTTTTCGTGCAACAAAAAAGGCCACCAATTGAGAGATTGTCTGAACAAAATTAGACCAGACCAATCAAACTATAATCCGAGAAGATCCCACAGTGACCCGAGCAATCAAAACTGGAATA